TTTCAGTCTTTTTGTGTTTCTAGTAATTCTTTGCGTCTTTTCCCTCGCTCCCTCTCTCTCCATTCTCTTTCCAATCTTCTCCCCTCTTCTTGATCTCTTTCTTCTTTCTCTGTCCGCTGTTCCTCTTGCCTCTTAAGTTCCTCTTCTTCTCTGCTCTCCTGCTCCTCCTCCAGTACTAAGTGTTGATCGAAAAAGTCCTGTGCTTTTTCTAAGTTATCAATTCTATATTTTTTGTCTTCCCAGGAGATTAGTAGACCCTCCGGTATTAGCCAGCGGAACTTTATTTTAAATTTATTCAACTGTGCCGTTAGAAAGTTGTAGTTCCTTCTTTGGTCCCTTGTCCTTTTTGGTAACTGTTTGAGGGTTAAAATTTCTTTTCCTCTATACATAGTTGTATCCTCTCTCATCCTCCTGTAGATATCTTCTTTTAAAGATTTTTTTGTAAATCTAATGTGTATTTCTTTTGGTAACTTGTTTCTCCGGGCGTAGTTCATGTGAACTCTATAGATTTCATCTATTCCACTTCGTATCTCTTCCTTGTCCCTCTGGGTCACTTCTGAGAGTATCTCAGTCATGATTTCTCCTAAGTCCTCCTCTTTTTGCTCTTCTATGTTCTGAAACCTTAAATAGAAGGATGCCTTCTCCATCTCGAGATATGATAACGAGTCCTCTAGGTCCTTATTTGTGGCTGCTTGGTTATATTCCATCTTCTCCATTCTCTTATTCGTATGTTCTATTCTCTCCTCCACCTTATGAATCCTCTGTTCGTTTTCCTCTATTTTCTGTTGTATCTTTCCTATCTTCTCATCCATGTTCCTAATATTATCCTTTATTTCTCCCACATCCGTCCTAAGTTCCTTGTGATTTTTTCTTGTCTCCTCATGATTGTGGGCCATGGTCTCTTGCATTCTATTCATTCCGTCCTGGATCATCGTTAATACGCAGTGAATGTTTTGCATACTAAGAGTGGGGGTTGCTTTATCTTTTTCCATAGTTTCAACTGGTTTTTGTTGTGCTGGAGAGGCCGTGAGTATCATCTGGTTTGATGGTATTTTCTTACTTGACTTAGTTATTGTTGCTGAGCCTGTAGTTGCCATTAGTATTTTTTTGTTATCTTCTCCCAGAGTTTCATATACTGATTACTATTTGGGCTGTTATATTTCTTTTGGTATTTATATTCAATTTATGGCTTTCAGTAATCCCAGGGAGATAAACAAGTAGGATAAGTTTCCTTGTCACACAATCACTATCTATATATAAATTTATCTATAAGTTCTATCTTTCACTTTTCAATGTTTTACAGAGTTCTTCAATTCTTGATGGCTATTTAGCCTATATTACTCTCTAAACATGGGGGTGAAATATAGAGGGAGTGAGTGAGGGAGAAGTCTAATACTTCAGCAATTCATCAGTTTAACTGTCCTTATAATTAATTACATACTATTTTATTTAAATTTATTATTAATTACTATTTATCGGTATCAATTACCCTTAATTACAATCCTAGATTCACTTAGTCTGTCTAATATAATTCTTCAAAACTAAACATGCAAAACAATATGATATTTAACTACCAAGATAAAATATAAAACTAAGATAAGTATAAATATATATTTAAAGTATATATATATATTTAAAATAAATATAAAACTAAGTTAACAGTTGTATATGTAGTATATAAGGTTATATATGAGATTTCAAGAACAGTACATTTAATATTAATACTTTTTATGCTTATTAATCACTAATTTGTTATCAGCTTTTAATACAATTAATTATACTTTACAATTGATTCTTCTTCTTCTAGATCACTCTCTTCTTCTTCTTCTTTTTTTTTTTCCAAATTTGTATCCTTCTTATTTATTGTCTATTTACTTCCAAGGTCTAATGTCCCAATACTTTTAAATTGAGTGTCCAGTGTCCACCAAAACTCCAAAGCGTCCACCTTTCAAAAAAAGAGTCCAAGTCCAAATATCTAAATGCTGTCCAAATTTCGTCCAAATCTCCAAATCTCCAAAAGTCCAAAGGAAAATATTCCACTTAGGTTGGTTTGATTTAGCTCCAAAAGTCACTAGCTTCCACTTTAAACGGAGTTTTTCTGCCACTCTCTCTTCCGGTATCGGCTGCTTGTTGATTGCCTCGTTGTAACCTCTACAAAGGGCAAAGTCTGTCAAATTTATCCCTTCCTCTCCTTAAATTCCGTCTCTCCTCTGTAGCGAAATATCCAAAGTCCAAGTTTCTCTGGGATCACTTTCTCCTCCTGGGTTTCCTCTGGATTTCCTCCGATTTCGCCGGTTGTTAATTTGTGCGCTGTCACTGTCAAGATGGAATCCGTCTCCGCTTATTTCTCAGTCGCCGTTTGTTTAGCTATGGTTTGCTTCTTAGTTGGAGTTTTATCTTCTCCCGTCTTCGATCCTCACGTTATGGATTGTAAATATATCTTTTGAGCTCTTTTTCTTCCCGATCCTTCCACCGAAGTCTTCTTTATTTGATTTTCGCTTCCCTCTTAGTCAGCTGTCAACGTTTCTGGCCAGCCGGAGTGGCTAGTTCTTCCCCGATCAGGATTAAAGAGGGTTTCCTGAACCTTCAGGGGGATTGCTGTCCTCCCCGAGGTCCTCGGAGTTTCCCCTTTTTTCTATTGACCTCTCCGAGGTCAATAGTGCCTAAATCGGCTCCTAAATTGAAGATATTAGGGACTTGGAGAACGGAGATCCGTTCCTTTCGTCCCTAACACGCTGACGTCACTGCCGGAAGTCGAAAGTCTGAGACTTTCATAGTAAGAAAACCTTTGAAGTTACATGAGAATTCCCTCACCTTTATTTAGTAAGCAAGAGTAAAAAAAAAAAAAAAACCTCAAGGAAGTAGCTCAAAATGACTTGTAAACTTCTAGACTTTTCTTATCAAGGAGAAATCAAATATGTTATTCCTCAAAATAACATGGTCTACACTCTATCCCTGACATATTTTAATATCCCTTTATATTTTTCCTTGCATGAATTTCACGTCTTCAAGTAATACATTGTATATTTACAATCATTTAACTTTAACATATTTATTTAAAATAGACATCATTATAGCTATTGGATGCTATACCAAGTTTAAAATGGTGATCATAGTTATGCTCCATCCTGAAAACACTAAATTCCTCCAGCAACTTCTTGGTGTATTATGGCCCTGCTCTGTTTCCTTAAACTGTGAATGCAGGATAAACACATAGCTATCTTGCTTAATGGCACACTTTAATCCTTAAGCAGCAGCCACTGGAGGAGTTGTGATTGCATTGATTTCTTCCGTATGTTGTGATATATAGTAAACTATCAGCAATATTTTGAACAGCTGTGATCAAAATCCTTTAGGCCACTTTTTTTTATTAGAGTCAATCCATGACAGATCCCACTTATATTCATGCTGTATGATTCCTGTTGCTAGTTCTAAAAGTTTCCCTTAATTTAGAATGTATAAACCCCCACCCTTTTTTTGCACTGAAACCTTTATTTCACTGAAAACATCTTTTCAGTTTTATACCACCCCCTTCTTTTGCACCACCAAAGGAAAATGCTGTACCTTGAAAAACCATGGTGTGAGGTAAAAGCTGCTTTTCCTAACCATAGGGCTCCTAAACTATTTTTAAAAATCAGTATCTGGTCATTGAACTCATTAGAATTATTGCCCTCATTGCATTCTCTGGTTAAGTAATGACAACATTACATAATTCAACTACAAAAAATTCCCCAATAACTTCCTAAAATTAAAAATTATAAAGCTGGGAAGAAGAAAAACTATGCATATTCCATACTTGAACTGCTTCTATAGCTTGATTTTTTTTTTCAGATAGACCATACCAGTCCTTGGAGGCTCTATTTTCTTTTCCATTTTATTCATTGTGTGTCATGTTGAGGGGCAAATTAAATCCTATAAATTTCTTCTTATAATCCATATAGCTTTTAAAAACTAAAACACATGAAGCTATTATCCCTCCTTTCTTCCTGATTTACTTTGATTCATCAAAGAGAATTTTCCTTTCTCTTCCTTTCAAAACACTATGGAAGCTGCATATCTGTGAACCCTACACTTGAATAAGATTGCTGACCTCTGCTCTAAACTATGCTGTAGCACAAAGATGGTCCTGGAATGAATAGTAACTGTCTGGTTGACTTTCTATGGAAAAGCAATGCAGTATGAGTTGTCAGCATCAATGAAATGAAATAAAGTTATGTTTCTGTGGAATTTGTTTTCTACAAGTCAAGCTGAATTTTTTTAAAAAAGAAATACTAGTAATAATTAGACCTCTATAAAAATTATTCCTTAGCCTGGCTCTTTCCTAGATAAAACTAGAATGAGTGCATGGATTGGGATTGGGAAAGGAGGTTATCTAAAAGCCCAGGGATAGAACAATTAAAGGCACCACCACTGGTACCTTGTAGTCCAGGAAAGTCATGATATAATTTCAGCAGAAGTCAAACTGTGACAGAAAATTGGTAAAATAGTATTCCTGAAACTCTCAGCAAAATGTTCAGGGAGAGTGGCTGTACGGTATGAGTAGTGACATTTGGCTGTGCATTCTGGCACTGGTTGTCTTCGCACCAGGGGCACAAGAGGTTAGCTGCGAGAATGAGCATAGTGAAATCTTTATGAATGTTAAATAGAACTAGCTGCTAGTGGTTTTTCTCTTAAAATGGGAGAGGTTACTCGCTTTCTTAATTTAGAAATTATTTTGAATGTCTCAGGGTCATTCCCAGGTGAGAACAATCACTTCGAAGAATTCTCGGTTCCGAAATTTCCCATGCGCTGTTGAGTATAAGGCATTCACCATAGAGATGAGCGAGAAAGAATGACATCACCATGTCCTCAGGATGTATAACCAATGGAGGCCTCTTAATTTAAAAAGCACTTGGTGGCCTTCGCGCAGCACCACGCCCTTCTACATTCGCACCCTTGATCCTCCTCCGCTCCCTTCGGGAAGCACGTGAAACCCGTTTCAGGCCCCGCCCACCTCCCTTCCGCCTTATCTTTCTCCTCTGGAGGAGGAGTCGAGTGGCTGATGTCTGCCAGCAAGCGGTTGTGGTCAGTGTTGCCCTTAATCCAGCCGTCCCGGTCTCGCCCTTAGCGGGTCTGGAGCTAAAGAGAGAAGCGGAGACAAGCCTCTACAAGCCCCGTGCTCCCTTCTCCTACCTTAGGTGGGCCTGACCCATCCCTTGCAGGTAAGTATGTGCTCTCTTCCACACCTCGGTCAGTTGGAGGCTGCCTAGAACTGGCCGGGTGCGACCTGCTGAGCCTTTCAGCTTCTGTGTAGGGAATGGGAGGACGACGCTTCTAAACCCAGGGCAGTTTTAGGGGAAGAAGGGGGCCTGCCTAGGGCAGGCAAGTGTGGTGTGGAGTGCCTTTGGAGGCCGACGGCGGAGCCCTTGCTTTAGGAAGAGCTTTCCCTTTTCCGGAGCTCTTGCCTTTCTTTCCTGATCGCTTGTCCTCGCTTTTTCCCTCCTGAATGGGCCGCCGTGGCGCTCCCTTTTCCCATGTCTTGAACGCAATGGGCACGCCACGCTGCTTGTATGAGCGAGTAGCTGGTTGGTTAGTTAAGGCGGCGTCAGGGCTGCTTTCCTCTTCATTATACTGTAAGTGTATCGCCGAAAAGAGTGATGGAAGTCTTTCCGTGTAAGGCGCTCTTTTCCCCCCTGCAGTGTTAAACTTATTCAAAGCGAGATATGCTGGGCCTACCTGGAACTCCCTCATATTGCCTGAGTCCAGACAGACCTGCGGTTGACTTTTGCTGGGAAGGGGTAGCAATTCCAGTAAAGAAAAAAAGCTTATCTCACCTCTGTTGAGGTGAAGCAGTAAGCAAATCCTTCTGGGACACTATCTCCAGATTTCTGAAGTCAGCAGCTTTCTTCTGTAACATATGCTGCCTCTAAATAAGGTTCTATTGTTGGTTATGATGGATGCTTATACACACTGGCAGACTTGTTCACCACTTGAGAGCCAGTGTGGAATAGCTGCTAAGGCACCAAGCTAGAAACTGGGAGACCCTGAGTTACTCCTGTCTTATGCAAAGCCAGCTGGGGATTGAGCCAGTCCCTGTCAGTCTTTGTCAAAAAGCAAAGGTAAATCACTTCTGAAAATCGTAGGGACTTGTTCAGGTGTTCACCCAGATGATTTACTTGAAAGTGCACACATCCACACAAATATTTAATTAAATTAATTTAATTTAATTTATTGCATTTCTATGCCGCCCACTCCCAAGGGACTCTGGGCGGCTTACAGCAAAAATAATGTGAACAATGAACATAGAAAAATTATTTTAAAACATTATAAAAAACATTTTTAAAAACATTAAAAGCCATGCACACCATTTATGGCTAGATCTCTCAAGATTGCAACAGCGAGATCAACGGCCCCAGGCCTGCCGGAAAAGCCAGGTCTTCACCGCTTTCCGGAAGGCCAATAGGGTGGGGGTGGTCCGGATCTCAGGAGGTAACTGGTTCCAGACAGCTGGGGCAGCCACAGGGAAGGCCCTCCCCCGCGGGCCCACCAGCTGGCATTGTTTAGCTGACAGGACCCGGAGGCGACCAACTATGTGGGATCTTACCGGTCGCTGGGAGTTATGTGGTAGAAGACGGTCTCTAAGATAGCCTGGCCCTGAGCCACGTAGGGCTTTAAAGGTAATAACCAACACCTTGAATTGTGCCTGGAGACCAATAGGGAGCCAGTGCAGCTCGCGGAGAATTGGTGTAATTTGGGTGTATCGAGGTGCACCCACAACAGCTCGCGCAGCTGCATTCTGGACCAACTGTAGTCTCTGAACACTCTTCAAGGGTAGCCCCATGTAGAGCGCGTTGCAATAATCTAACCGTGAGGTGACAAGGGTGACAAAAATATTCTCTACTTATTCAATCCTTTAAGGTTTATTTAGTTGTACTATTTATACATTATATTTAGGAGTTAAAACCCAATAAAAGCAACAATTCTTCAGGAAAATATTTAATTTGCTTGTGTATATAGCATTTATCATTTACTAATTTGGAAGTCCATATATAATTATTTTATGACTGTCAGTCTGAGTTGTTGAACAGAAAAAACCTGAATATTTTAAATCCTATTAATGCAAACAATTTCTTTTGTTCTAGGTCTTTGTGTGAAATATCTGCAGATAAAAATGGCAACAAATAAACCTAAAAATCAAAATTCTTTGGCTCTGCATAAAGTAATTATGGTAGGCAGTGGAGGAGTAGGAAAATCTGCATTGACTTTACAATTCATGTATGATGAGGTAAGAATTCAGAATGTTTTTCTTTAAATTTCTGTATTTTCAAGGAATATGAGAGCAACTGAAACAATATTACATTATAGTATATTAATCAGTACTTATTGCATTTCACCCATAGTGGTTGAAGCAGTTCAGATACAATCTGAGAAAATTACTTGTTAAGTAATTAAAAATAGCTGAGGGGGTGTTTTACTTATATTTGGAAGAGTCAAAATTTGAAACAAAACTGGTATTTTTGTTGTTTCTGGCTGCCAGGTTTAAACACAAAATAACTTTTAAAACTTAAAAACTTTAAAAACTTTTTTTTTTTTTTTGCATAAGGCAATTGTATACAGGATTTGATTTAAGATTGGCTGAGGGTTTTAAGTTCTTCCCTTAAGGAACAGGTGGCAGCTGTGGCTAACAACTTTTTTGCAAGTCCAGCTTATGCACTACTTGTGCCTGTTTTTGGACTGAGAGGTCTTGCTACTGTGGCTCATAATTCCCATTTGGGTTATTGTAATGCACTCTGGAGCTGCCTTTGAAGAGTGTTTGGAAGCTACCAGTGATCCAGAATACAGTGGTGCAGGCAGTTTTTTGCTTCTCACTAAGCCTAATAAGACAGCTGCTCTGCAGGCTGCACTGGCTCCTTGTAGGCTTCTGGATGAAATTCAAGGTGCTGGTTGTTATCTTAAAGCCCTGCATGTAGGCCAAGTTTTTTATGCCTTTCTCCCATCGTTTCTGTTTGCCCTATCAGATCTTATAGAATAGGCACGCTCCAGGTTTTTTTCCATTAAACAATCTCATTTTGTTGGACTTGGGAGTCCTGCTTTTTCTGTAACTGCCTGCCTTGTTGAACAGCATCCCCCAGATTGCCTTGGCTCTTTTGGTCTTTTATAAGACTGGCTACTTTCTTAGGTGTTTGGGTCTGTTGAGATTTGGATTATTAGAACTGGAACATACTACCTCTCATGTGATGGGTTATTTTCAGCTGACAATTTTTTAATACTTGTATACTTTCTGAGTCACTTCTATAAGATAAATGGCCTTATACACTTCATTAAACAAATACCATATTTCCACTTCCACCAGTGTTAGTGTAGGGTTGAACAAGAAATTAGTTTTTGAAATCATTATTAACATTTTGTTGTATAGAATGGAATTGACTATTTTGTTAACAGTTTGTAGAAGATTATGAACCTACCAAAGCCGATAGCTACAGAAAAAGAGTGGTCCTGGATGGAGAAGAAGTTCAGATTGATATATTGGATACAGCAGGACAGGAAGATTATGCTGCAATTCGTGATAACTATTTTCGAAGCGGAGAAGGTTTTCTCTGTGTATTTTCAATTACAGAGCTTGAATCTTTTGCTGCTACAGCTGACTTCAGGTATTGGATCAGTGTTTTAATATTTTGAATGATAGTAATTTTTGTTTTATAAGTTCCTTGCCTTTTTATAATGGTAATTCTATAAACATCCACCAACTGATAAAATGGTACAAGAAAACTGCATGTAACTGAAATGTCTGATTAATGCTCCAGATAACCATGTGTAACATGCTATATCATTTCACAGATCTGGGGAAAAATGACTGTTTAACAATCTGGAATTAGGATAGCCTCAAAAAGGATGCTTTACAACATGTAAAGCTTTTCTGGCTGTGGCAAAACGTAGCATACACACCCTTGTGGTCACATTTTGATAATCTACATCCTTGGCAGCTTATTTACATTTACAACAGTATATTCAGTGCAAAATATCACAGATAAATAATTGTATTTTCCATGAGTGTATAGATCAAAAGTATGTGGTATTTTTTCTTCTCCAGAGAGCAGATTTTAAGAGTAAAGGAAGATGAAAATGTGCCATTTTTGCTTGTTGGCAACAAATCTGATTTAGAAGATAGAAGACAGGTTTCTGTAGAAGAAGCAAAAACTAGAGCTGATCAGTGGAATGTTAACTATGTGGAAACATCTGCTAAAACACGAGCTAATGTTGACAAGGTAAAAGCTATTTCCCATTTTGTGTAATCCTCTTCACATAAGATTTGCCAATATAATTATTTTTAGTAAATGTATTTCCACAGTAGTTATAAAAATCCCAGTACAGTTTAGAAAATTTTAAATCTGAAAGATGGGTCAAAAAAAATGGGTAGAAGTAATGAAAATCTATAATTCCACTTTTCAATATTACATTTTGCTTTATTTTTCTGCTGCAATTGTTTCCATCCAGAGCTGAGTTTGGGAAATAAAAAAGCACCTGTTGTGGCCTGTCAGCCGCCAGCCTCTCCAATCAAATCTGAGGAGGAGATGTGGGAGTCAGGGTCAGCATTAGGGCAACCTGGGAGCTTCGAGGAGGAAGAGGGAATGGAGCTGGCAGAGAGAGACAGGGGCGGAGCCTGCGCCCTCTGTTATCCCTCAAATGGAGGGTCAATAGCCCCCAGGTCTGGAGATGGTTGATGAAGAAGAAGAACAGCTGGGTCCAGTGCCAGATGCATAGCTGCACAGAGGGCAGAGAAGGGGAGAACAGTGGAAAAACTGGGCCAATCCTGGGGAAGGAAGAGCCATCGCTGCTAACGAGGCTCCACCTAGCTCTGGGGATAAAAGGCAGGGGGCAGAGATGAATAGGTGTGGCAGACAACTTCATTTTCCGGACAGCCAGACTTGTTAGCCTGCGAGATAAATTTTTTGCCGGGGCTGCTGGCATTCCTAATAAAAGAATCTTTTGAGTTCACATCAGAGGGTTTGTCATGTTTGGGGAGCTGGGTCAGAACAGCAACTTTGGCATGGAGGAGAATAAAACCAATGGTGCAGATGGTCATTCTTTTTTTTTTCCACATCTGACTTTCTGAGTCACACTGCTCTTCATTGTCCTTTGCAGTTAGTTGCAAAACAATTTCTGTCCTATGCTCATATGAAAGAGAAGGGAACATTAGAAGTGGGAGATCGTCAAGAATGGACCTTTCTCTTTCTGGCAGGATGTGGTAGCCCATTTTCTGATTTTCTTCTCATTAGCAGTTTTTTAATACAAGGAAAAAAATTAGGAAAAGGAGGAACAAAAGAAGAAAGGGGCATAGTTTCTACAAGCAAGAATGTGCTGACTTATATAAAAACGTGACTAGCAAAGAATTCTGTTAAAGTCAGATACTAGAGTCTGAGTCAGCAAATGTAATTTGGTCTATAAAGTACACCACAGAATGGTTGAAGTATATGTGATGGCCAATGAGTTTTTTGAAACTTTATTGACTGTTAGCTTGAAAGACTAGTTCTGTAGTCTTTGGTTGTATTTTTCATGTGTTAAATTTTAACACAGATTTTTTTTTTTTTTTTTTTTTTTTGCCGTTGAGACATAGCAAAAATTTTTCTAGGCATATAATTTGGAATGAAAGATACATCGTGGCTTAATTAATAGCTAAATGAAATGAAATGAAATTAAGTACAGGTTATATTTAAGCATTCAATCAAATTTATTGTTACTGGTATTTCTCCTAGGTATTTTTTGACTTAATGAGAGAAATCAGAGCAAGAAAGATGGAAGACAGCAAAGAAAAGAATGGAAAAAAGAAAAGGAAAAGTCTAGCCAAGAGGATCAGAGAAAGATGTTGTATTTTATAATCAAAGTTTCAAACTTTTCCTATTTCAACCACAATAAAATCCATTAACATAGAGCATGCTATTTGGAGGCTGTTATGGCAGAAATCACTCTTAATAGTTGGGGAATTCTAATATACCACTTAAGGCATGGTTGGGACAACACTAAAAATCTTCATTGGAAAAAAATAGTTTCAAGAAAAGCAGAATTTAATCCATAGAACTTGTTTTCTTTTGCCATGGTTCTTCTGAATGTAGAGGATTTTTTTCTTCCATGGGCAGTTTCTTGAACTGTGAATGAAAAAGCATTACTTTTTCTGTTTTTCTTTAAAGCATATACTTTTAAATCAGATTACTTTATATCTTACTGCCTTGAAAATTACAGTGGTAATGAAAACTAAACAAAGATAGTAAATAAGCTTTCCTTTTTGCTGTTAAAAATTATGCAAATTAGAGAAGAGAGACTATCTTCTCTGCTTCTATTGGAATCATTTATACATGGACCTAGATTAATGGTATAAATTTAGGACAATATTTGAATATGCCTTAATTTAAGACTATATCTTCCTTGCAACACACTACATTGTATGTGTGCATCATTGTGAAATAATATCTTGTAATGCAGTTTTTGAGCATTTTTACTAGCTAACAGTTGATCAGTACAGTTGATCAGAAAAATGTGCCATACTCTGGATCTTGAATTATCCAGAATACTGTGTTTCTTTGCTTTAGTGAAAATTGCTTTAGTAAAAGTCAACTGATATATTAAATTTAAAAATGAAGTGGGTGCAGTGCATTTCAATTAGAAGTGTTTACTTACTCCTTAATTTAGAGATACTGACATTTACTTTTGTAAGTACTTTGTTTTCCTATTTGTGAAGGATATTTTCCTCAGGTAGGGGAGCACTATGGATTTCAAAAGCACAAATAAGGTTCCATTCTGAAAAATATGTAAGTTGTTAGTTTATTTTTTTTTTTCTACGTTTGAGAACATCTACTGTATATTGTTTTAATGGAAACATACTCTTCTGGTTTATATCAGTTGGCTAACTGTCTTCCTTTGCAATATCAAAATACTGATGATAATTTTCCAAAATTGTCATTAAAATATTAAAAACAGATTGTCTTCAATTCTTTATTGTAAGGAATATTACCACACTGTTAACATGTATAACTAAGCTAAAGATAAATCTCCAGCTCTGAGACATTTAGGAATTTGGGGTTTCAGTATAAAATATGACTTCCAAAAAGCTTTTTAAATATATCTCTGTAAGCCTACATCTGAACAAAATAGACAGCATATGTACATAATGTGGTAACTAATCGGCTTTATTGATGTTGCTGTTTAGAGAACATTTGTTCATCAAGAAATTTTGTTTGTACATCCTGCTGTAGATGTTATGTGCAGAATTACTTCTTGATGTGGCTGCTACAGCAGATTTGGTCCTCATTGTGTATTTGTTTTCAGTCTGACTAACCAAGGGAGTTCAACCACTAGCATTCTATTTGTGTAATGGGAACCAAAGTGTTTTGATGCCAATGGACATGTATAATAACAGTTGTCATAGGCGGATGCCTTACCAAACTTTTTATTTGCTATTTGAGCCATTGAATAAAGTTTTTTTTAAAAAAAAAAAAAAACCTGTTGTAGAATGTTGATTATAAAACATCGTTGCAGAATAATGATCATTAAATTTTCCATAAACGTGTCTATAAACGGGATATTGTACGTGTCAGAACTTTGGAGAATGCCTGCTTCCGCGTCTTTACTGGGAGTTGGAGGTTTTCTGGAACGCTGACAGTACGAAGATTTTTCTAATAGATCTCCGAGTAATTTACAATAAGGTTTTAGTTCCCAATTATTTAGTAAAGATAATTAAAAGCTTTCCATCCTCAAGAAGGATGTTCTAGAGCAGTGGTTCTCAACCTTCCTAATGCCACGACCCTTTAATACAGTTTCTCATGTTGTGGTGACCCCCAACCAGGGGTGGGTTCTAATTTTTTTTACTATCGGTTCTGTGGGTGTGGCTTATTTTGTGGGTGTGGCTTGGAGGTCATGTGACTGAGTGGCCATGGCTAGCTGGTCATGTGACTGGGTGGCCATGGCTATGTGTATAGAGACTACTCAGAGGGCTGAAAAAAGTCATTTCTGACAGGTCCTCGCACTTTTGACTGGTCCTCACACTTATGACCATCCTCACATTTATGCCTGTGCAGCATTCTTAACAACCATGTCACTCATTTCACTACTGCTTCTCTTCAACATGGTATAAGATAGGGCAAAAAACGTAAAATGTGAGGACAGTCGTAAGTTCGAGGACTGGTCAAAAGTGCGAGGACCAGTCAAAAATAACTTTTTCAGCCCTCTGAGTAGTCCATATGCATAAAAGGATACAGCAATAGAGAGGGATAAAGAAGGGAAGGGAAATTAGAGTAGGAGTGAAGGTAAGAGGGAGGAAGAGAGGAGGAGAAGGAGAAAGAAAGAGGAAGTAGGGAGAAGAAGAAGGGGGGGAAGAGAAAGTAAGTAAGAAAGAAAAGACAGAGGTGGTAGGTTTGAGGAGAAAGATTGCTGTACAATAAAAAAGATGAAAGGGAAGAAAGCCAACCCCAAACAAATATTAAGATATTAAGATAAAGAATGAATTGTTAAACTTTAAAGAATAAAAGAGAACAAATAGCAATAAATAGCAATAATTAGAAACACACATACAAACATACAACGTATTTTCTTTGAACAGAGTATTTGGCCGGTTCACAAATTTAAACAGTTGTAGGAGGTTAGCACCCACCCCTTTCCTAGAAGAATGAAATATTTTGGGAAATATTAAAAAGGCAGAATATTATATTTTCCTGTATGAGAAATGGAGAAGCATATTTTACAGACAAAGCAACTCCCACCTTCCTGCCCCCCACCCTTTGTTAATGGGCCAGAGGCAGAAACTCAATCCTTTGTCAAAGGACATTTGCAACACAATAGCAACAGAAACTAACACAATAGGCCCCATCAAGCCATGTGATCCTGTCCACCATTAAACCATCTTTCCAAGCAGTCTCCATGTTTCCAGTGTCTTTTTCCCCACTTGGAGCAGAACCCAGAAGGATATTTCTTCCAACACAGTATTAGTCATTTCAATTAAATTTACAATTTTTATATTTCCTTTTTACCATATTTATTCCTCATCTATTTTTTTAAAAAAACAATATTACCCTTCATCCTCATCTCTAATCTTAATCAAATTCAATTTTTCCCTTCTATTCTATATTATACCCCTTCCCATTGTCATCTATTTTTATATCCATCCTCACATTGGTTAATTATGTAATACAGTTGTTTAATACAAATTCAACATTTTAATATAAATCAATTAGTTATATAACTACCTTTTTTGTATATTAATCAATATGAACATGAATATTCCAATTATTTCCATGCAATCCAATTTCTTACAAATCAATTAATTATATTTACCAATAATAATAAACCAAATAATTTCCCCCATATATTCCTCCAAACCACAACTTAACCATTTCTGCTTTCAACACAATATGCAATTAATAGTATCTCAATTATTACAATTCCCTAGTTAAATAGAGCTTTTTTTCTTCTGTGTTTTAAAATCTTGAACCTCCTCTTGCCCTAATTTTCCCATTGTTTGCAGTTTGCACCTACCTTTTTTGGTGAGGAAAAAGAAAAAGAAATCTCTCTGCCTCATTTTGTCATGTTGCAGCCAAGACCCTGCTTACTTTCAACTTTGCTTTTTCAGCATAGCTAGGGGGAAAAAAATCTGCTCCAGGAATTTACCTCTTTGCAGCTAGCTAGCAACAGAGCCCTCCGCAAAACAGCTGAGAGTAGGGCGGGTCTTTGAAGCCCGGTGGCAAGAATTTAAAGTTTTTTTCCCCTCTAGCCATTAGCTGGGACTCCAGAGACAGCAATAGATTGGGAGTGGGCGGGGTAAGCAAACGGCGACCGGGTGATCCAGCAGAGGCAGAGGGTGAGGGTGAGTGAAGGCATGGGGGGGGGTGAGAGAGGGCTTTGGCGACCCCCGTGAAATGGCCGTTTGACCCCCAAAGGGGTCGCGACCCCCAGGTTGAAAACCGCTGTTCTAGAGAAACTTGAGGGAGACTTACAAATGGAATTAGTATAAAATTGTTCTGAATCTAATACTGAAACAAAAATGTTATTTTAAATGGATGCTCAGATCTTCTGAGCTATTGTGTACTCAACTTGAAATTATTCATTTCAGGTTCTAAATGATCTAATTCTGAAAAAAAAATATTTTCCCCATAAGTAAACTATTTATGCTTATTTACAATACCTGATGAAATGCCAGAAACTTACAAATAGAAGCTTTCAATTGCAATGTATGTAGGTAATGTTTGTGTGAAAATGTGCTAGTAACATTTCTGATGAATAACATTGACATAAATCTGTGCCTAACTCCCTATTTCACCGGCGTCAAACTCATGTCACGGCGGTGTCACGTGACATATTGGGACTTTTTCCCCCTTCACTAAACCGGGCATGGCCGTGGCAAGTGCGTTGAAGCATCTAGCCTAGGAGTTTGACATCTCTGCCCTATTTCAACATCATGTTTCAAACTCTTAACTTCTTCGTCCATTCATCCCTCATAGCCCTTGCAAAAATTGCATCTAAGTAGGAAAAAAGCAAGTTAATTAATAATATGAATTAATCGTTTTTTTAAAAAAACAGTTGCTTAATTGTATTGCTGTAAACATTTATGGATAAACACAATGTTCAATTTAGTCTTGAATTATATGCTTAGCAGCTGAGTCAAGCTATTCATAATTCTGGTGTTTTCCTCTTTAGTCATGCTCTATGCTGTAGAGTTTTTATTATCCTGACATTACAGCTACAAATATTTTTCTCCAATCATATTCTATATGGTATGGCCTGAATTAATTTATATTCATTGCCTGAATTAATTATGTAACTTTATGGTAGTTACTATTGCTATTATTAAATTCTTGAATGTACCTCACCTGGTGCTCTCTCATCTCCATTGTTATCTAGAATGATAGTTTAAAAACTAAGAAATCATGAATATATTGTTAAATATATATAACATTAGCAATCATATAATCTACAATTTGTTCAGAGTCATAAGCATAAGAGATAATAAAGGTTAAATATTATTAAAATAATATTTTAATGTTTTCAATGCTAAATAAAATTGCATTTATCACAGTGGTGAAATCCACTTACCTTTGCTACTGGTTCAGGAATGGGAGCACGTGGGAACGAGCATACACTACGCATGCTTCTTCTGCGCATGCGCAGAAGGTAAAAAATGGGACATAATGACATTCCAGTGGGTGGGCAGAGCCTCCCGCTACCAGCACTACTGGTTCACATGAGCCGGATAGATCTGGCCAGATTTCACTGTCGATTTGTCCTAACATTTCAAGTATTGTTTCTATCATTCTTAATAACTTAAATTTTGTTGAGTTTAATATTATTGTTATTTATTATTTACACTATTGTACTTTGGTAATCAGGATGAAAACAACTTTGATATTTTTGAAATTAATAAACAATATTTAATAAAGAACTATTTTCAAAACCAGATTTGTAAATAGCTATTTATTTAGTTATTAAGAAAACTAAATCTTGTGTCAGATAAAAGACAAAAAATTTGCACATTATATATTAAAGCTGTAATTTAGTTTGCTTAATTTTGACTTAACTTGTTTTATAAACTTAGTCACTGCAGTTTGTAGTTTATTGTGATATATGACCTCAAAACATCTAAATTTAATAAAAATGAATTTGTCATGTGTTAATTGAGGTGATATAAAGTAGTAATCTGCCCTTTTCTCACTATGACTTTTCTAATAACAGAGAAGAACAAAATTCTTTTTGTATTTCTTTTTTAGGGGGAGGGAGTAATGAATATAAAGAGGAAAATTTTTCAATTTGGTTCAAGCAGTTTGTCTTTTTAAAGATGCAGTCATCATGGGATTTGATCTTTATTTTTATTTTATTTTTTATTTAAAAAGTTTTACAAATACATTTTCTCCCCAATTCCCCCCACAAACCCTCCCTAACCCTTCCCACCCCCATGACTTCCTCTAGATAAAATCCAAATCAAAATTACATT